AAACTGTCATCCACATCAATCATCATTCGAGCGGTTTTCATGAAAGGCCTTCCAAGAATCAAAGGCGCATCATCATCTTCCTCCATATCAATCACAATAAAATCCACCGGGAAGAAAAACTTGTCCACTTTAACCAACACGTTTTGAGCTACTCCATGAGGATGAGTAGTAGACTTATCGGCTAATTGTAACGTCATTCGGATGGACTTGATCTCAATGTTGCCAAGCTTTTTCACGATACACAACGGGATAAGATTTATGCTTGACCCCAAATCAATCAATCCTTTTCCAACATAAACGTCACCAATGGTAACCGGCAATGTCACTTTCCCCGGATCAACTTCTTTTCTTGGTAGAGTACGTTGGATGATAGCGCTACAACTTGCGTCGAGTACTATTGTTTCTGGTTCCGTGTACCTCCGCTTCTTTGTAAGTATGTCCTTCATGAATTTGGCATACTTCGGCATTTGTTCCAAAGCTTCGGCGAACGGAATATTGATTTGTAATTGTTTAAAAATGTCCATGAACCGTGCGTAATGCCGTTCATTTTCTCTCCTAGATGGAGCGTGCGGGTAAGGAAAATTTTGAACCGGAGTGGTGCTCACCATCTCCTTGCTTCTAGATGCTCTTGGGTTCCTTTCTCTTTTCTTTGGTACTTCATCCACTTTTTCTTTATCATTTTCATTATTTTCAACTTCACCATTTTTTTTTATTTTCAACTCCAACCACTATGTCTTTTTCAACTTCACCATGTTTTTCTTTATTTTCTACTTCCTCCTCACTCCATTCACCAACTTCACCATCAAGTTTATCGTCAATTTTTTTCTCTACCTCTTTTTTTTCACTCTTGTCAATCAACTCCCTCCCACTTCTCGTCCTTATAGCCTTACAATGCTCCTTCGGATTTGTTTGCGTATTTGCCGAGAAAGATGGTCCGGCTTGTTGTTCTGCTAATTGCTTAGCGAGTTGACCAACTTGAGTCTCTAGATTTTTTATAACCGCATCATTACTTTTTTGGTTTGCCATAGACATTTGCATGAATTGCGTCAATGTATCTTATAGCTTAGAAGTCGCAAGCGGCGGTTGTTGAGGTACATACGGATTTTGACGGTTAGAGTTTCCTCCCCCATAACCTTGGTTATTGTGGTAGTTACCTCTAGGTTGGTATCCTTGATAGTGTTGTTGTTGCTGTTGTTGAGGATGATGGTATGGTTGTTGTTGTGGTTGCCTTTGTTGGTAATCTCTCTGGTTAGCCATGTAGTTCACTTATTCGAATTCGGGAGGCGGACAAAATCCAGTATCATGTTCGCCTTTACAAAGCTCGCAACAAGCTATTTGTTTAGCTTTTGACGGTTCTTTTAGCTCCTTGATTTGTTGAGTTAAAAGTTCCACTTGTTGTGAGATGAGCTTGTTTTGCGCAAGTATAGCATCATTTGTTCCTAACTCAAGCACACTCGGCTTTCTTTGAGCTACCCCTCGGTTGTGGTTCCCTTGGTGATCATTAAGTGCCATTTTATCAATGATCGCAGTTGCATCTTCGGCGCTTTTTGACATTAAAGAACCTCCCGCCGTTGCATCCAATAGGGTCTTATGAACCGAAAGGAGTCCATTTCGGAAAATATGAATTTGAGTTAGCTCATCGAAACCATGTCCCTTGCATTTTCTCAACATAGATTTGTAACGCTCCCACGCTTCATTCAGTGATTCACTAGCTCCTTGCGAAAAGACTGCAATTGCAGTTTTAGCCTCCATGAACCGGTTATGTGGAAAGAACCGTTCAAGAAAATTTTCTTCTAAGAGATTCCAATCGGTCATGACTGTTGTCGATTGGTCAAGATACCACTCCTTCGCTTTCCCAATTAAGGAATGAGGGAATAATCTCCTAAACAATGACTCTTCGTCAGCTTCGGTAGCTCCAGTTGCGCTCGCAATCTCATAAAATTTTGTAAGATGAGTAAACGGATCCTCATGGTCTAATCCTGTGAAAGGATTTTGATAGACAAGAGCTAGGATTCCCGTTTTCATTTCCGCTTGTCTTCCATTTTGGAGATTACGTGCAAACTGAGCTGTATGTCTGGGGCTGTTTGTGCATGGAGTAGAAACTGGTGGAGGGGGTGGTGGTTCTGCCATGATTGGTGTGAAATGTGGTAGTGATGTGGTAGTCGAAGAACTTTCTCCTTGATTTTGTCTTTGCCTGACTTGTTGCCTCCTGCGTCTTGCTCTACTGTTCAGTCTCCTTGCGGTTCTTTCGATCTCAGGATCAAAAAGAATTTGGTCCTCAGGAATCTGTCCTCGCATAAACAAGGGTTGCACACTAACCAAACAAATTACAAGCACAAGTAAAAATTTCAAAACTAAAAATTCGGCAACTATTGCGATGCTAGCAATATCAATTTATACTCTCCGGCAACGGCGCCATTTTGTTAGAACAGTTGTTAAGTGTCGGGTTTGTATTATCGTCTCCACAGGGAATATAAGATTTTGCTGCCGTTCAACAGTTGTTAAATTTATAATTTAGTGGTATCCAAGGGTTTGTGTTTAAGGTAACAAGTATTTTGCATGAAAGGAATAAATGCGATAAAAGTTAGGTTTAAACGGTTTGAATAAAGATTGTCAAAGTTAGGTTTCGGTAATCACTTTGCATGTATACTTCTTATCAACATTCAATAAACTCTTTCGAATGATCAATGCATTCACAACATCCTCTCAATATGATTATCTCTAACTCATATTGTGAAGTTTATCATTTTAATCCATTGTTGATCTCTCACACAATCTATCAAAATGACAACTTTAAAGTTCAACATTTTAAGTGAACAAAATCATCCAAGACTATTTCTAGCTCAAGAAAAGAGATGGGTGAAAACCTAGGTCAAGAGTTGGTAAATATTTCTCAATCATTAACCAACACAAAAGATTATGAATAAAACAAAGTTTTCACCATACATTAATCATTCAAGAGTTTACAAATGAAGATCATCCATACAAATACAAAGTTCAATGATTGCCTACATCTATCTTTGACAACAAGATGAACTTAGCTACACATTCTCATGGTAGCTTGCAAAAGAAGTTTTAAAGTCGATTGATGAACATCCAAGTCGAATGATCCAACTTTGATGATGATCCACCTTGTTGTTGTTTGATTATGTTAAGAGATGAAGGAAAATAAGCCAAAATAGGTTTTTAGGTCACAAAACCCTTTCTTGCAGCAAAACAAATGTAAAAGTGAAAAAGAAGATATTCTCCAAAAAGTGGCCCAAGCTACTTATAGTAAGTGACAAATCTGGGCACGCTCGCTACTCACTCGCTAGGCGAGCTGCTGGCGAACGCTCGCTACAGCCTCGCCTAGCGAACCTGCCAGCGAGGTCTGCAGGATCCATTTTGTTATGCTTCGCTAGGTGCTCGCTGCAGCGAATGAGCCAGCGAAGGGTGCCTGGGACATTCTGTTTTGCTTCGCTAGGTTCTCGCTGGGAGCTCGCCTAGCGAGCCTCTTCGCCACTTGCTCGCTGACCAAAATTGATGTTGAAAACCATTCTGCCCAAGTCTGGAGCTGTTCGCTACGTGCTCGCTAGGCGAGGCTGTAGCGAACACTCGCTACTCACTCGCTAAGTGCTCGCTGAGCGAACCAACTTTTGTTATGCTCTTTGTTTGATTCCTTTGCCAACTTTCTTGTGCCTTCAATAATGCTCTTTCACACTTAAATCCTGCACAATAACACACAAATCAAAAGGACCAAAAGCATTTGACACAATGATGCACATTAACAAAAGCAAAGCTTAATAAATACGTTTTCGGCATAAAAAGAAGTGAAAGATGTCCATATTTGATAGCTCCAATAAGCACAATTGGGCATCTAACAAGGGCCAACGATCATTTGAGTTGGACTGGATGGCCAGACCCAACCCAAGTGACTGCTACGGCTTCCGTGGCGTAGTGAAGATTAGGACGTGGTCTTCGCCCTAGTTCAATTGTCCTGTGATCTCCGGAAAGTGGGTTTGACCTGCTCTTTCGGAGGTGGGCAGTTGGTTGGTGATTTGTCCCCGCGGAGGGGAGCACGTGGAGAACGTGTGAGGCACACGTCTTTCTGCCCGACGGGAGAAGCGTCTTGCCCGACAAGGCAATGACCGGTCGACGGGAGCCTCGTGCTCGACACAGATGAAGGGGACTTATTTTGGCCTTTCACCAAGTGTAAGTGGGCTGGACCTTCCCAATCAAGCGGGGGCCCAGGCCAGAACAATTTTCAATTTTATTTGATTGTACAAAATTAAATTTCATGTCTTATATATACTCCTTATATAATCAATTTTAAGATCATCAAGTAAATAAAACAACCACTAGACCAACCGTCGGAGTTTCATGTTGTTATTTAATTGATTTATTATCATTCTATCAATATTAAATTCATTTATACATGTATTCAATTGCATATTTTCTTTTGTAAAATGCTTTTAAATTTCCGCTCCACCTTATTTTTAACTAATTTTTATAACAAATTTTTTGATGAGAGGCCTATCCTTAAACAAAAATGTATTGGTGGTATATATGTTTACATTAGGTGGTGGGTGGCATTCTTGTTTTTTGTTGCACACTTTTATGCAGGAAAACATTTTAGAAAGATAGTCTCAAAGACAGGATCGTAGTGATATTTACTCCATAAAAGGTATTTAACATTTGCTTACTCAAGATATGTTGGAACATTTGTCAATTATAAACACAACCTCTACCATTTTATAATTAACATTATGTACAGACATGTGATGAAGGCAGGCTTTAAGTGGTCAGTACCTTTCATTACTTATAAATCATACAGAATGAAAACTTATACAACACATTGTAGTGTGAATAACCTCACTCAAGGAATGCTTTCTGTGAATAATTTTCTACTTTTCTCCATCGCGGTTCGACCGATTCTTTCAATGTATCATATCAAAATTTTCAATCTCAAATCACCAGAAGCAGGCATGAGCATTGCATATAGTCCTCCTCACATTAGTAATTTAAGCTTTCTCTCCATCTTCATCAAAGGGTATTTCGTGCCGTGGTTTATTGTACTTCTCCCGCAGTTGCTTTATAGGGATGAAATCTCCAGCTGAATCCATTCCATAGAACAGAAAAGACATGTAGGGGTGATCAAATCTTCCCTGAAAACAGTAAAAGCGCCAATTCAATAACAGAAATAATAGATATTTCGCTTTTTATCGAAGTAGAGATCCACTTACTTTGTCTGGTTTGTCAGGTATTAAAAGATTTTCCTCTGCAACTGAAAAAAATGGGAATAATCAATCTACATGTTGTTTGTTTTCAGCAAGAAACCAAGAACATGGAATCGACAAGTACTGAAAAGAAATTGTAGGTAAGTAACAAGATGTTTGTGAATGATGATAATTCCAGTTTTACCATATGCCACCAGTAGATCTGGTTCAGCACGAACGTCAACAAGTACCTGGACATTTGAAAATTGGGAAACCGATTAAAGCTCCGAACAATTCTTACTCAAAGGAATTCCAAATATTAACAGAATAAGAAAATTTGATGAGGCAATATATCAAGAAAAAATAGACACATTTACAATTACATGTTGTTTTCATATAAGCATGAAATGATGTTTCATCTTGAAGTTTTTGCCGAATACAAAAATAGACAATTTATAAAAGTACATGAAAACAAACTTATATAATACAGACAAAAAATTGGTGATGAAAACTCTTGCATTAACATCTTTCACAACATGTTATTGTTTGATTAATACTCCCTCCGTTTCAAAATGAATGTCGTTTAAGATTTTTGCGCACATTAAGGAATGTAATGATATTGTCATAAGACATTACACGTTTACTAAATTAACCTTATAAATGTGTTGGAAGTAGTGTATAGAGTAATAATTAAATGACAAAATTGGAAAAACAACAACCATTTCTACCTTGAAAAATGAGAATGACATTCATTTTGAAACAATTTTTTTTACTAAAACGACCTACATTTTGAAATGGAGGTAGTAATTACTCCCTCTGTTTTATAATAGGTCTAAGGATTTTACTAAAGGGTATTCTCAAAATTTAAGTTGGACCTAACTCATCACTACAAAACAGGTTTGTAAGGTGAGGATTGTCCCCATTTATAAACACAACACAGACCATATCTCTAAGCAATGTGGGACTAAATTCACCCCTTCAAACCCAACACAATGAATGTTGGGGGCTGCTATGAAAGCAAGCCAAAGTGCCGCAACTAAGGCGACAAGGGACGGACCGCAATTAAGACGGAAATTCCAACACGTATAATAGGAAAAATAATATTAATGATTCTTTGGTATTGCAAGACGACTTATATTTTAGTACAAATTTTTTCTCCAAAACGACTTATAAAAAAAACTGCGGGAATAGTAAGTAATACATGTATTGTCTGATATATTTGGCAACTTGAAGTATTTTGAGTAATAATAAGAATTGAAGAATATAAGACACATCAAATGCTTAGAAAGTTAAAATAATTTGATAAGAATTAAATTTGACCACGTAGAAACAAAATGATTTATACAAATGCAATTTTTATCCTGAAGATAACCAAACCTGATAAAATGGTTGAGTGGAACCATGAGACAACTTTTTAACCTGTGCATTTTCCATCCATGAATTTGATTCACTGCATACTGGATCCATTCCTACAATTATAGCTCTATAGCCTGCAAGGTATTTCGAGTAATAAACTATAAGGAGGAAAGGAAATCATATTTTCTACTTTTATTAGATATTAAACATATCAATGTGTTGCCAATTAGATTTTTCCACTTGTTTTATAGAGATTCGAAACTCCCAAAAGTAGTCCGGGTTTGTACTTGCAATGGAAAGCTTCATAGTACAACCAAGAATCACCTTGTTGTTGTCGTGTTACGCACACTTGAGGTTTTCAAAAACCGAGCCAAACAAGCTGGTTACGGCAGTTGAACTGGTAACCAGCCAGTTTGCCGATTGGTTTGACTGTAGTAGTACTTTAGTCTGGTTGAATCGGATTTAACCGCTTGAATTGCATTTGGTTCAACCAGTTCTTAATTTTTGCATTTTTTATACTTTCTTTAATTTTATTTATTTGTTATCTGGTTCAATCATGGTTGAATCGATTGAACCATGGCCAAAGGTCGCTCAGCCTCAAATTCAGGTCTAAATTTCGGTCCTATTTTTAAAGCATTTAAAATAATCTGTCATATTGATAGGAGAGATTAAAATTACTTACCAAATATTTTATGCTTTACTTTCTGCCCCAAACGAAACACATATTGTGCATTTTCATGTGCTAAGGCTTTAGCTGACACAGCCAGAGACTCTGCTTCAAGTTTAGAAATTTCATCGCGTAATTTAGCAGCCAAGGCATAATCCTCATTTTCGATAGCACTCTGAAGGTCTGAGCTGCAAGCCAAACAGGATTATTCGCTCTCAATGTTCAAGCAGACCAACAGACTATGACGATGAAAAAACAAAAAATAAGCCGATTAGAGTGTGCTTATTTTCACGTTGTCAATACCAACCCCTCCAACATCAGTTCACCTCATAAGTATTTTCAAATCCAAATGCTTTGGAATTCTCACACACACACACACACACAAACACACACACACACCGCACGCTCAATCATTGAGAACAAGTAAGCTAAATACAAATGATGAAGAAATCTCACCGAAGACGTATAATACTTAGACCTTTATCTTGTGCATCACTTTTTGAAGACAATCCCCTTTTTGACTGTTGTTGCTTAATTACCTCTTCTTCAACCTTTCATAAATAATATATACCAAGTAAGTTTCTAGCCATTCAACGCTACAATACCAGAAAAAATGGATGACTCGGAGACATATACACAGAGCAACATATTCTGACCGATAGACATACCATTGATTGAAGTGATCAATAGGCAAGAGACATACACACAATTCAAGGGTAACAAAACAGATATAGATAAATAAAATCACTGACAGAAACTTAGTAGTATAAGTGCATGTTCTGATACATGGCGATGTGAAAAGTAATTTTTCTCCGGGAAAAGTTATTTTATTATAATTGATTACTTTATATAAGAATTGTTTTTGCTTCCAAACTTCGATTTGACTAGAATGCTAAAGAATGAATGTTAAATTAGGTTGAAAGTTTTACACTAAATTCTGCATCGTACTTGCATTTCAAGTAAAATTGTTATAAACCACTTCACTTCTAACTCATTTTTAATGAAATCAATTTTACAAAATCGAGTTCATTGAAAATAACATCCGCTCACAAACAAACACGCACGCATAACCACTTCAAGTAAGCTTTGTAAACATTATCATCCACATAGGTATAGGATACCAGGACAGTATTAGTCACTAACTAATCTAACCTCAGTAAGTTTGTTTCGCAGCTGCTTCGCAATGTCATACTCTTCCATGTTTAAAGCACACTGACATTCAAAAGTTAAACAAACGAAACATTAAGAAATCTTCCACAAATATTTATCATGGTTTTAAATTTGCGGTCTGCAACTGCAATTGCGGCCGCAATATAAAAGGATTTTGAGGAATCCGCATCAGCGTCGCAACGTCAAGTTCAACCATACCAGACGATTTTCTTGCAATATAAAGTTTCCTACCGCAACCGTAACTGCAACCGCAATTTAAATTGATGCTATTTATAAAATATTAAAACCAGCTAAACCTGCACTCTTGTGGCTAAATCCAGCTGAAAGAAGAACATCAAGATATCCTCATTAGCACTTTCACTCTGCTCTACATTTGCATCCAACCCTTGTTCTCCTCCTCCTCTAAACATCCACGCCGCTTCAACCTTAAAATCACTTCTTCGTCTTGACACAAAAGGGTACCCAATTAAGACTAACCTCTGCACACACTTGTTCCAAATCAAGTGTTTTCCAGCGGCAGACGTAACATGCGATCTTTTAAACGGCTCAAAGGGTGAAGAACCATAGATTCTGCTCTTTCCACATGTTGCTAGAGTGCTCAATGACACACCCTGCACCATTTTTTGTGAATCCAAAAATTGAAGTTTCAGCCTCTTACCCTATAAAGGATATAGAGAAACACAAATTCACCCTTTTCTGAACACTATGTTCCTGCATTATTGGCAATACATGAATTGAGACTATGAAGCTTCAAATCATCAAATTATTATTAAAAAAATCAACTTTAATTATAACTATCTTAGAATCCAAATATATTTGCAACCTGCTTAATCAAATTAAACTAAAAAATCAATTACCCCTTAAAATTACAACGTTTTATTGACAAATTAGAGGATTAGAAATATAAGCAAAAAAACAACATGTGGGAATAGTGTGAAGATGAAACTTTGATTAACAGAAAATCATATATATAGTTAAGTGCAACAAGTATTGAAGAAAATTTACCAAAAGGTTAGCGGAAAAAGAAGTAGAAGCAGAAGATTCGATGGATTCCCAGTCACAAAACAGAAGCGAGGAAAGGAAATGTGAAAATGTATTTATTTGCATTTTCGGTTATGATTGGTTAAGGTTTAGGGAGAGAAAATGAAGATAATTTTTTTAAGGGTAATTGTGAATTTAGTCATAAACTCATCTTTCTTAAGTTAATCCTTAGTTTCTTTTACTCAGAATAATGTAAAAAGTATTACAAAATCATTCGATTAAAATATTTTCTACTACAAATTCATATTTTATATTAGTATTTTAAAAATAAAAATGTAATATAGTGGGATATATATCTTGCCAATTCCTATTTCATATAAGTATTCTACTATTTATTTACTATTAATTTAATTTATCGTCAAATATGTTTTTCTAGTTAAAATATTTTTCACTAAGAAAAGATTAAATCTGTATATAACAAAACACAACAAAATTCCACTTCAACCTTTCTCTCTTACTCCCACGTGTCTCCCTAATATTAACCTATGAAATTATTTTTCTCTTACTCCCTTTCAATTTTTAAACACCCTATTAAGCAGGTAAAAATGCACACACCATTTCAAACCATTGGTCTTCATTGTTCTTCGTATTTCCTATAACCTTTTTCATACACCTTCAAACTTTTCCCATCAACTTTTTCTTCTTCCAGATCGAATCGTTTCCCCCCTCTCTCATCTCATAGTTGAAACTTGAAGAAGAACCTCATTTTCTCTCACTAGTTTCAAGTTCTTCCCATTTCTCATAAGGTAAGATATTCTCAAAACTTGATTTTTTTTTCTCAATCGCCCTCATTTGATGTTTCACAGATTCCATCTTTAACTTCCTTCTCTAAATCTTAGGTCTTTCTATAAATCTATAAATTTTGTTCTTGATTTATAATTTGCATCGCTTTTGTTTCACTGTTTCACATATTTCATTGATTCACTACATTTAGACGGTAAGATTTTTACTGCTAATGTCACACAGAATAGTTAGAGTTGATGCTTAACATGCTGCACACATCTGACTTGAAATATATTGATTTTTACTTCTTTTTTTTGGAATGTGAAGTGAGATACAGCTGACAGACTTTTAAAAGACCTGGAATTGATGCTTTCTTAGAACATAGTTCTATGGAATATTATTGTATACAGATGAACAAAATATGGTAATTTGTTTTTGTTTCTCTATATTCCGAATGGATTTTTATCATTTCTATAACTTATGATTATTCATATGCTTATACTTATTTTGATTTGTGCAGTTTGTAGACCCTGTTATAGAGAGGCTAGATCCCAAGCACTACATTAGGTATAGGTTATTGTTTCGTACTGGGTCAGGACCTGCCCCTCAGGGCAGACCCAATCCAACACTATGCTAATGAGGCCCAACAAGACCCAAATTCCCCTCTGTCGGGCACGAGTCTCAACAAGGTACATTAGTCTGGCAGAGGACTCTCTTGACGGGGAAGGCCACGGGCTTCTCCCACGTTTTCCACGTGTCCCCCATGCGGGGACACGTCATCAGGCAACTACTCACTTCCAAAATAGATGGTTAGCCCACCTTCCGAAGATCACGGGGCAGTTGATCCAGGGCGAAGACCACGTGTTGGTCTTCCCTACGCCATGTAAGCCTTGGCAGTTACTTGTGTTGGGCTTGACAATCCAAACAAATGCAATGTAACTGTTGGCCATGCGCTGGGGGCACATTATAAATACCCTCTTTCACTAGAGGATCATGTATCTTATTCACTATATTTTTTCTCTGTACTTGCTCTCTCTCTCTCTCTCTCTCTCTCTCTCTCTCTCTCTCTCTCTCTCTCTCTCTCTCTCTCTCTCTCTCTCTCTCTCTCTCTCTCTCTCTCTCTAAACTTCGTTATTCACTTAAGCATTTGAGCGTCTTGCAGGTACATTCCCTCCTCCTTTACGACACCGGTGAAGGCAACAACTCACGACGCGTGGCAGACTACTGATTCCTTTCTGATCAGGTAAGATCAGTGGCGCCAACTATGGGGATCTTTGTTTCCCTGTTCTTTCTCCTATCCAAGCACAAAAGCTCAAGAACCAAAAAAACTTTCAACTTCCATTCTGATCATGGCCAGCCCACGCGATGACAATGCTCTGGAATCCGCCTTCGTCCCCTTTGTCGCTTGCGCGAAAATGAGGTGCCGGCATGACAGAAGAGTCGCCACCTTTCGTTATTCATCCCTCAGAGCGGGAAAGGAAACGATCGGGAAAACCTGACGAAAAAGGGTAAGACAAGGTCATCGCAACCATTGCTGGGTTCGGGAGTCGGTTACGCAAGGGGAAGGTATTAGCACCCCTCACGTCCGTCGTACTCGACGGGATCCACGCTTGTTTGTTTACTTGGACGGGTTGGTTATAATCTATCTACCTATCAAGGCTGGCTGAGAAAGAGAAGAAAAATGACTCGGCAAAACGTCGCACTTTATGCCTACGTATTCTCATCAGAGAATGAGAAATCAGAGTCAACGTAGTTCGGCCTACGAAGGATTGTGGGGGAAGGTAGCTCGCCAAGACTTCGCCATCTTGTGCCTACGTACTCTCAACAGGCATGAGAGATCAGAGCTCACGTAGTTCGGGAAACTACGGTTTATTTCCTGTTTTGAAAGAAGTGTTTTCTTATTGTGTTTGCGATTTCAACCGCACTAGAGACTATGACCTGAGAGTGAATGCGTCGCATGTCACCCAAAGGGTACCATACTAAACATCCATACTATGGAAAAGAAACTCTCCCACAATCTTTTCTCAGATAGCTTAAGGCTCGTAACGTACGAAAGAAATCATTCATGATTACTGTATCTTAAACTGTTTTGAGATGAGAAGAGAACAGGCCCAACTAGGAGGGAGACTATCAAGTCCTGCTGTTATCATGCCATGGATTCATACTATGGTTGAGGCTTGAACAGGGAACTCCTAGATGTTGTCATGCATAGGTTTCAACCTAAAAGTCTATCATCAAATCCTTATCAAAGGAAATGAGAGTCCTAAGGGATCATGTCAATGATACACCAAAACAGACAAAGCATCAGCTTTAACAGTAAAATGCATGCAATGCAAGTGAGGGAGGAAATGTGTGTGGGGCTTCAGCCTCCACAAGCTCGTCTCGACCTCAAGCCAGTCATGAAATAACAGTAATCATACTGAAAAATAAACAACATGCTATCAAGCAATAAACAGTAAACTGCAATCATACAGATAAAAGAGATGAAATGCCATCCATGCTTGAGAAAGAAATTATCTACATCTAAGCTCTCCCTAATCCTAACCCTAAAACAAAACCCTAATCAAATCTCTAAGCAAAGCCCTAAAGCAAAACCCTACACAAGAGAAATCAATCTCAGTCTTCAAGCTTCAAAACAAGCTTACCAAAGAAAGGGAGCTAAGTAGGCAGACTCATAGTGCCCTCCTCAGGAAAGCACTAGGATGCTTATACTTAGGACTCATATCCCATGTGGCTCAACAACTGTGATCGGTTTACATTCCTCCTCAGGAGAAACTAAACTCACATGAAGGCTCCAACATTATTGGATACTTGGGAAATCCTACATGAACTAAGGGAACTAAGTGAACAGACCCATAGTGCCTTCCTCAGGAAAGTACTAGGGGGCTTCCACTTAGGAATCATATCCCATGCGGCTCAACAACTGTGATCGGTTTACATTCCTCCTCAGGAGAAACTAAACTCACATGAAGGCTCCAACATCATTGGATACTTGAGAAATCATACATGAACTAAGGGAACTAAGTGAACAGACCCATAGTGCCTTCCTCAGGAAAGTACTAGGGGGCTTCCACTTAGGAATCATATCCCATGTGGCTCAACAACTGTGATCATTTTACATTCCTCCTCAGGAGAAACTAAACTCACATGAAGGCTCCAACATCATTGGATACTTGGGAAAGAGGTGAGAAGAAAGAATGAAAGACATCCATAGAGCCTTCCTCAGGAAAGTACCATGAACTTCCCTCAGACTCCAGGGTCTCCAACCTCACAGAAAGAGAGCAAGCTCCTAAACCAGGCCTTCAATCCATGCCTCCTCCAATCCTCTAGTATGCTCCACCAAGCCCCACAATGAGATGCCAAGCTCCTCCAATCAAAGGAATACCCCAAAGCAAAGCAAACTAACAAAACTTGCCCTAAAGGCCACACAAACAATCATTCAATTCAAAAATCAACTAAAAATAGCATATTATTCTATTAATTCCTAATATAAGTGCTAGGGGACCCTACATAACTACCCTTAAGTCCCATATATTCCCCATAGACTAAATTGCCCTATAAAGCCTAAAACAAAATTGTTCAAATTCAACTATGCTTCATAAAACCCTAATTTTGTTATGCTAATAATATTTAATCAAACTAACTAAAATCTAATCCTAAAAATCTTGGGATAAAAACCAGAGGGAACTAAGATCAACATCTAATTATACTAAAAGAATGGATTAAAAAACTTAAGGGAAGATCCTAAACCAAATTCTACAAAATCCAACATTAACCTAAATCATTAAAAAGCTATTTAAAAGAAAAATATGCTAAAAATATAAAAATAAAAATAAAATGGGATTTTATTATTTGC